TCCTCCCGTCACCCTAGGCTCAGTATACCGCAAGCTGTAGCTGGCGGTATACTGAGACGCCGCAGCTACAGCGGATCCCGACAATTATGTCTGGATCTGCCCAGCTGCGTGAGTGACAGCTGGCTCTGCCTATCTAGAGGCAGAGCCAGCTGTACCCGCTCCCTCCCCCGTCCGTTCCGCCAGTCAGCACTGGTGGATCGGAGCGGGGAGGGGGGAATCCAGCCCCTCCCCTGTCACGGCAGAGAGCAGTGACAGGATCGAGACGCCGGTATGTGTTCGCTCACTTCCCGATCTACTAAGCCGACCTGTGACAGTCTCATTGTCACAGGTCGGCTAGAACTATGAGGTGAGTGAAAAGCACTCACCTCATAGTTCTCCTTTAAGCGTAAATGGGGAAAAATTGAGTAATTCTTCTTGTTCAGTCCAAAGGGCTGAAAGAAACATCTTGAGGTATATGGCCAGCTTTACACTGATTGGGTAAAAATTACAAAGGGTCACATGGAACTGTTCACCCAAAATATGTACAATCCATAGTACCTATGGCAATGCTATTTTGAATTTTGCACATATGAGAGGTAAATATACACCAAAGAAAAAAAATTAAACTCTAATAATTAAAAAGAAAAAAAAAAAAAGACAGGATGGTAATGTATTCTTATGGTAAATTCCATTTGCACAGGTTCTTCCATAAACTCTTTTTCACATGACTGTAAGATGGTAAATGGAATTTTGCAGAGAACCTATTCATGTGGTCCAATGTACTTCTTGTAATAGAAACTGTGGAGCATGCTTACAAGGCAGTGAATCTGACATTCAGCAAGCAGGAGAATTGTCCAGGTCTATGTGTTTTAAATGACAGTGATTGGTTCTCCATCAGAGAATGTTTGGTGAAAGTTATAATCACTGCTTTATAAATAGTATATGCTGTGGGTGCTACAGTGTCAATTAGACACGTGCTGCCATCATCAAATGGTATATGAAGTATCCAAGTGTTACCACCGCAACAAAGTCAAAGAGAAAATAATTTATTAATGTCACAGGAAATTATTGCCTTAAAAAAGGACCCCAGCATCGAGCTAGAAAGGGGCAAACACACATATCCAGCACAAGTCTTAAACCTCAATTCCAGGCTGCATAAAATATTACCCTTGCAGTGCCAATGTCCCATCTGCACTGCAAGGATTAAATGCTTGTTTTCTCTAGGAGGATAGAAAGCAGTACAAATTAGGCATGCACCAATACCGCTATTATTTTTTCGGTACTCGCCGATACCGGAAGTCCAATTAAGAAAGCAAGGCGGCGTGTAAAGACTCACCACCCGGCTTCCCGATTAGCAGGAAAGCCGTCCCCATGCTTCTCGTCTCTAGGTGACGAGAAAGCATGGAGCCGGCTTTCTGGCCAATCAGGAAGCCGGGCGCCGTGTAATGACGCATCGCTCGGCTTCCTGATTGGCCGGGAAGCCAGCTCCATGCGCCCTCGTCATGAGGTGACGAGGTAGCATGAAGCCGGCTTCCCAGCCAAACAGAAAGTCGGCCGCCCGGTTTCTTGATTGGCCAGCTTCCCGACAAATCAGGAAGCCGGGCAGCGAGTCATTACACGCTGCCCGGCTTCCTGATTGGCTGGGAAGCCGGCTCGATGCTCCCTCCATGGAGCCAGCTTCCCGGCCAAACAGGAAGCCGGGCAGCGTGTAATGATTCGCTCCTGATACCGGAAGTATCGGGCTGGGCATCGAAGCATTTGGGTGAATACGAGTACTCGCCATCGGCACCGATACTAGTATCAGTGTTGGTGCATCCCTAGTACAAATGCTTACTTTTTTTCTCATCCCCTAAGAAGTCGGCACGCTTTTCTCCACTATTCAACATCCCGGGCTGAGGGCTGGCCCTCGACTTCCTCAAGTACAATGCAGGACTACTGGTCCTGCATTATGGATGATCATGTTCAAAGGCCTGCGACAAGAAGAAAAGCGGCGGGGACTGGTCATGCAGCTGGGAGGAATACGGTAGGTTTTGCTGCCTATTCTTGTCCCCTCATCTATATGAATATTTAACCCTTGCAGTGCAGGGGGTGCGCTGCAAAGTTGGGCTTTAAACAGCCAAGTGAACCAAGCAGCTGTAATCGCAAACTCTAACTTAAAAAAGTTAACCATGTAAGAAAACAATTTGTGGCCATACCACAACATGAGATGTATGTAAACCTATAGAACTACTAAACTAAACATTCTATCACAAAGACCCATTGTAATAAATTCAGTTAGACATCACTGACAATATAAAAAAAAATTGAAAGAATGTTCCAAAAACTAATGTCTTAGTAACATCCTACTGGAATATGGCCAGTTTAAAGGTAGAGCTGAAACCAAAACCTTTTTTTTTTTTTTTTGGATGGTGTAAGAGAGGGTTATAGCCCCTGCCAGCTGTTTTTTCCATCTGGGTCCCATTGGGGAGATATTGTTCACATCCTTTCCAAAAGCCACAGCATGAACTGAGAAGAAATTCATCCAAAGTGAGCATAATCCCTAGATGTCCCCAGGGTTACCAGGACTAGTGGCCCCATTTACCATCTATTACTGTTGTGGTGACAATCCAAAATTTGGGATTTTCTTTAATAGTCACCAGGACAAATACAGAGGGTGAATGTCCCTAGCTGGGACACAGACAGCAATAGAAACCTGACAGCTGTTCTAATCCTTCTCCACTCCATCCACAAATAAAACAATTTTGGCTTCAGTTGCACTTTAAATTGGCCCTGGTGCATGTATGTAAGCATGTGAAACAGGGACCTCGGATTGCAAGCTCCTTGAGTTCAGGAACGGATGTGAATGTACAGTATGTAAAGTGCGGTATAAATTGTTTGCTCTATAAATGCCTGTAATAATAAAAGTCAATGTGCATAAGACTTCCATGGTCAGCCATGATGTGTAATCGTATATCCATTAGTAAATTGGGTCCTATCTAAAAGGTGCCCATACACCTTACAATTATCTGCAGATTTTCTGTGGTCAGATGGAAAAAGTGCAACAGATTGGCCCAGGTGGAGATTACTCCATCCACACAGTTAAAGGGGTTCTGAACCCTCCGTTTTTTTTGCCTATATCTACTGCTAACAAGCAGTAGATATAGGCAAAACGTTTTTTTTTTAAAACACGCTTTAAAAAGAGGTTTAAACTTACCTCGTTATCGCTGCGCGCTCCCGCGCCGAGAATCTGGAACTGTATGTGCGGCCGAAAAGGATCTTGGGGTGGGCGCATGCGCAGTTCGGATTCTCAGCCAGGAGACGAGCAGAAACATTAACATGGGGGGAGGGGATTTTTTTTTTTACTGTAATGTCACTTTAAGTGCAGATGGAGGAATCTGTTGCACTTTTTCCATCTGACCACAGAAAATCTGCAGATAATTGTAAGGTGTATGGCTAGCTTAATGGTGAACACAATTAGGGATGAGCTCACGTTTGGACCTTGTCCTGATCCAAGCCAGAGCTCATCTGAACACAGCCGCTATATGAGCCTCCCACCCAATCAGCTGTGGGTTGGGGCATTCCCTGCCCCGCGGCTGACCATAAACAAAGGGGCAGGATGCTTGTGCTGACATAATTTACCTTATATGGCCACATAAGATCAACAACATCATTGCACCCCGCCCCTTCAGTTTACAAACAAGCTGAGGGATGGGGTATTCCCCTGGAGCTAATAAGGCGGCATAGAAGCTTCCTTCTGTGTTTGGTCTGAACCTGAGATCATCACTAATAACAATCATTACAGAATGTGCTTGCAATAAACCAGAAATTACTGTACATGTCTGACCCTCCAGCTAGAATTATCTGAGCGGCTATTCAACTTTCGACAAAGTACACAACTATATCAGGGATCTCAAGTCTCCCTGATGTTCAGGGAGTCTCCCTCTTTTGGACAGCAGCTCCCTGATGTCTGCGAGAGAGGCATTTTCTCCCTGAAAGGATTACTCTGAGTAAACCTTTCTGGTAAGATATCAGGGGGTGAAGTTTCAGAGTGAGGCTTGCCTCCTGGAGGAAGGTCATGTGATCTCTAGAGTAGCCTCAGAACGAGGCTTGGCTCTCAGAAGGAAGAAGCTACTTGCTGCACAGAGAGGACGGACATAGACTACTATTGAGAGCAGGTACAGGCACTGCTGCAGGGTTGAGAGAGTGCTGTTAACCCTTTGTGGATAATATAGAATTCATTTTATGTCCTGGTTGTCTAGTTATAGAGAACATTTATTTAATGTGCTGCCCATAGGAACTAGTCAACTGTGTATCAGGGACTTTACTCCTCAGCGGTTTTTTAAAAAGGTCTCGGGCTGTCTAATAAATTGTGACCTTTACACTGACAGATACTTGAACATCAATTCACAAATCTGATGTATATATAAATAAATATATTGTATTATTGGTATATGGATTTTATTTTACTCTGTGTGTATGTATGTATGTATGTATGTATGTATGTGTGTGTGTGTGTGTGTGTGTGTGTGTATATATATTATCATTATTATTTCTTTTATATTCTGACGACGGCCGCTGTAAAAAAACAAAAACAAAAAACAGAAAGGGCACCTCCCTGAAATGAGACGGGAACCTCCCTGAAATAAGGTTTTGCAGGTTGGGATGTCTGCTATATCAAATGATCACAGGACATACTTCTAGATTGTCATCCCTAACTTAATTGAAGTTTTTTTTTTTATTGTGGGAGAAGCTGTTATAACCCAACAAACTAATAATAAATAAAAAAAAAGATCCTGTGTACTAATGGAGCAGCCAGAGTCTTCCTACGAATTTTGTGTAGGCCATCAAGACTGTAGAACGACGTGCTAATGTCAGAGCCGGAGTATTAATCACATGGCAAAGCTACAGCGCACCAGCAGATGGAGGGTGACATGTCATGATTGCTCTCTTCAGGCGTCTACATATTGGATTGTTTAAATAAACATTCAATACAAGTGATATGATAAAGAAATAACAAACCACGCGCCATTCCGCTCCCTGACCTGATTTTACTGCCCCCGCCGTTGTTAAGGCTCCGGTACCAGACAGAGGTTCAGGTCCGGGTCCCTGTGTTGTCCCTAAAGCAGGTCCCTGTGCTTCTGCACACTCTGCTGTCACCGACTGTTCCGCCATAGCAGCTGTGTACCCACGTGTGTGCGAAAAGGCAGGATGAATCGATTGCAGAGCGTAACAGCTCAGCTGCGCGCCGAGCGATCGATCGATACGAGCAGCTGTGCTGCAATGTGAAGCGTGCCCCATGTGGAGCTCTGGAATCCTCCAGACACGGTGCTGACGGCTGCATGAGGCTTCGTCGTGTAATAGATGGAGAAGGGAGAGCTGTGGGCATGCTTTGCTTACATGGAGAGATTGTTAATCGCTTTGTGAGTGAATCTTTGGTTAAATGTCTTGATTTAAAAAATTAAAATGTGTTTATCAAAATGGTCACATTTATCATACATTTAAATAGTATATTGCATTAGCGAAGTAAGGCAGGGTTAGGCAACCTCATCACTCCAGCTGTTGTGGAACTACAAGTCCCATGAGGCATTGCAAGAAATACATAACTCGCAAAGCCAAGATAGGATTTGTAGTTTTTCCACAGCTGGAGTGCTGAGGTTGCTACCCATGGAGAAATGGGAAAACATTTAGATTAAAAAGTACAGCAAAGGCTGATCAATAAAGTTACAACATAGTATATGGGATGACAGAGCAATAACAGTGTACAGTTATTGAATCCAAAGTACATTTAATCCTTTAGCTGCCAGGATCTCTTTTTTTTTTTCTTGCACAGGCCTGAAAATGACTCATTACCCTCCATTTGATCCTGCCCAACATAACATACTTTCTGAAAGCAGAGACACTGTAGAATAAAATGATGGTGTGACCACACGGTGATGAGTTTATGAGTTAAATGTGTATTGGTGTTGGGTTATGTTTAACCACTTAAAGGCCATAGTGTTTCACCCCCTTCCTGGCCAGGCCATTTTTCAGTATTCAGTGCTGCGGTACTTTGACTGATGTTTATTCTGTCATGCAACACTTTACTGAAACGATTTTCATACCATTTTTTGGGGACAGATAGAGCTTTCTTTTGGTGGCTTTTATTCACTAATGGGGTTTTCATTTTTTACTATATAACAAAAAAAGTACCATAAATTTTGAAAAAAAACATGTTTCCCTATAAAATTTGATTAAACATTTATTTTTACCCCAATTTTTTGGTACAATATAAAAGACGGGGTCACGTCGGGTAAATAGACACTAAACATGTCAACCTTTAAAATTGCGCACACCCGCGAAATCGCAGAAAACGACCGCAGCCAAAATTGGCCATAGGCGACGCTTTAAACGCTTTTACCGCTCATCAGTTTAGTGTTATCAGTGATTGATGGCCCTAGAATTATTGTTCTCACTGCGACGTTCGCGGCGATATGTAACATGTGCTGCATAATGGGCGCAATCGTCGGTTTCGTACATAGGCGCACCCGACGCATGTTTGCGTGTGTATGTGGGGGGCGGGGGACTTTAAAAAAAAATTTGTGTTATTTTTTTAATTTTTTTTTAGCTTCTTTATTTTTTTAATGCTGTAATTTTTTTTTTTACTTAACTTTATTGCTATAACATAGGGGACTAAGGAATCCCCTATGTAATAGCCAGTTCACCAAACAGGTCCTCTTTATGGAGACATCAGGGGTCTCCAAGACCTCTGATGTCACCTAGGGACCCCCAGAGAAGCTGATGAAGCAGAGATCTGCTCCATCAGCTTCTCTCCGGTGTTCTGCACCGGAGAGTGACACTGAATGCAGGAAGTGATGTAATATACATCACTTCCTGCATTCGGGGACAGGAAGAGAGATCAAAGGGATGATCAAGTAATGATCTCCCTTTGATCTCCTGTTAGAGCGTCGCCGTTCCGGTCACAGCCGCACCGGCCACAGCGGACATCGGATCACGGGACCGGCAGCGGCGACGGGACACAGGTGGGGCGCACACCCGCAAGATCGTGCAAGCAATCGGGCGTCTCTAGAGACGCCTGATCGCTTGTATGTAAACAGCCATCGCTGGCTGTTTACATGCTAACAGTTTTCCCTCTCGTGTGCGGCGCTCAGCGCGCGCACGAGAGGGGGGGAGGGGCAGGACGTCTTAAGACGCCCACCCGCTCTGAGCAGACTTCCGTCCGGCCGTTCACGAACGGCCATGGACGGAAGGTGGTTAAAGGAGAACTATGGGGTCAGGGCTTTTCCCGATAGTTCTCTTTAGGGTAACGGGAGGACACAAACTAGCGTCCTCCCGTCACCCTAAGCTCAGTATACCGCGAGCTACAGCTCGAATCATACTGAGACGCCGGAGCAGATCCCGACATCGATGTCGAGATCCGCCCAGCTGCGTGAGTGACAGCTGGCTCTGCTTATCTAGAGGCAGAGCCAGCTGTACCCGCTCGTCCGTTCCGCCAGTCAGCGCTGGCGGATCGTGGAGGGGGGAATCCATCCCCTCCCCTGTCACAGCAGAGAGCCGTGACAGGATGGAGAAGTGAGCGAACGCCGCTATGTGTTCGCTCACCTCCCGATCTACTGAGCCGACCTGTGACAGCCTCATTGTCACAGGTCGGCTAGAACTATGAGGTGAGTGAAAAGCACTCACCTCATAGTTCTCCCTTAAGTGTGTTATACTGTGTAACCTGGTTATCAAAAGACTGTCAGCACCACCCCTCGTTATCTCCCATTGTACTCTGAAGGAGCTCAAAATAATGGCATTCTGGTCAGGCTCCTGCTATGGCTGTCTGGAGCTGTTTAGCAGGTGGACCCCTCTGGTGTTGTGCAGACAGAATGTCCAGGGAGGGCAGGGTGGATGTGATGGGATTATAGTTTTATCTGATCTATTGCTGTATAAAAGGTTGCACAGTTTCTTAATAAATCAGAGTTTGTTTCACCCTACACTTGAGTCTCGACCAGTGACTGGGGAAACTGGGAGCTAAAGATCTTCAGGTTGCAATATCTCCTGAGCAAGCAAGAATACAGCGGCGGACATACTCATCCTGAGTACTGGAGTCCGTCACAGATGGTAGTTGCAATTTTTAAGTCATGCAATAATTGTGGTATCAAAACTTGTTTTCAGTTAAAAAAAATTTGTAAAGTATAAAAGATGATGTTGTGTCAAGTAAATGGATACCAAACATGTCAGGCCTTAAAAAAACCTACCGTTGGAATGGGGCTACCTTCGCACTGCAAGGGTTAACCACTTGAAGACCAGGTGTTTAGACCCCCTTCCTGGCCAGGCTATTTTTCAGTGTTCAGCGCTGCAGTACTTTGACTGATGTTTATTCCATCATGCAACGCTGTACTGAAATGAATTTTGTACCATTTTTTTGGGACAGATAGAGCTTTCTTTTGGTGGTATTTAATCACCCCTGGGGTTTTTATTTTTTACTATATTAAGGAAAAATTATTGAAATTTGTGGAAACATTTTTTTTTTCATTATGTTAGGAAACAATGATTATTACCCATATTGTTGGTAAAATCTAAAAGACGGGGTCACGTCGGGTAAATAGACACCAAACATGTCATGCTTTAAAATTGCGCACACGCAAAATCGTAAAAACTACCATACCCAAAATTGGCCATAGGCGACGCTTTAAAAGCTTTTACAGCTCATCAGTTTAGTGTTCTCAGTGATTGGTGGCCCTAGAATTAGTGCTCTCATTCCGACGTTCGCGACGATATGTAACATGTGCGGCGTAAAGGGGCGAAATCGTCGTTTTTGCACGTATGCGCACCCGACGCCTGTTTGCATGCGTGTATATATGGGGGGGGGACTTTAAAAGATAATAATGTAATTCTTTTTTATTTGTAACTTTACATTTTTGGGGGGGAAACTTAAAAAAAATGTTTTCCTTATGTGATAGCAAAATATGTGACAGGTCCTCTTTAATGTCACCTAGGACCCCCCTGAAGAAGCTGATGAAGCAGAGAGTTTTGTCGCAAGCTGTAAAACGCTACACAAGCGTTCTGCACATTTCTGTGCGCCTTTTGTGTGCGTTTGCGCGCATGTTTCCTCATTCACAGAAAAAATGTGCAAAACCTGCATTTTACGCGCAGAAACTCTGATGCCAGGTGTGAATGGAGACTTAGAGACTGCATAGGTGTGCCCTATGTGCAGAAAAAACACAGCATCAGAGTTGAAATCATGTTGGCAGCATGTACAATATTGTTATGATTATGAAAGATGGAAAATCAGATAATGTGCCAACTGTAGGTATGCACACCATTCATTACATTCCAGAAGCCTGGAGCATTAGCAGTTTACAATAAAAAAGTGTGGGAGCATTGCTTTTAATTAACAATATTGATTATCAGAAAACAATGTCTGTTTGTTTCGTGTTCAATGGACAATGCAATATAAAGACCCTCAGCTTTTAGCTGCAAATAATCTTTCATGGTATGTACTATCAATGACACGCATATGCAGTATACATAGATCCAGCAATGTCCTTTGAAGAATAGTACTAATTCATATGGATATAAGATTAAGCTTGATAAGTGAGAGCATGGAAAATAAAATAAAAAAATCAAGTTGTCAAACAAAATCCTGAATGCTTAAGCTGGGAATACACTGGTAGATTCAGGGGCGTCCTGAGGTTGGGTGTCACCTGGTCTCTAGACCGAGTGACACCCCGCCGTGACGTGTGTGCGTGACTTCACCACGCGCGTGCGCAATGAAGTCATCGCGCATGCTCGGCGACGTCATCGTGCATGCGCAGCCATCTGGTTGAAGCCGGCCGGCGGCCATCTTGGTGATGGACGCCGGCAGAGAGAGGAGGGGACGTTCACCCAGAGGGATAAGGTATGCCACCGGGTCCCCTCCTCTCTCCTGACACTTCCGGCTCTTGGTCCATGACCGAGTGCCCAACTTTTTAGAGGGGGTGACACCAAAATGACTCAGTCATTTTGGTGTCAGCCCTGCAATGGTGTCACCCGGATGCGGGCCACACCCTCCTTGTGACGCCACTGGGTAGATTTTTGTATGAATGTTCAAGCGAAAATCTTGTGACAACATTCAATAATGCCATCAGAGACTTGACCAATGTCGTTCAAAGTTATGTTTGATTGTAACATTTGTTGTTCGAAAGAATGGAGTTTCCCAAATGAAAACCACATCTCCTG